GTGTTTTGACAGAAATTACTTAACATTAATTTTTATTGTCACGAAACTGAGTAACAAATCGATTCCATACCGACTCAGTTCTGTTGCCAAATTTCGTCTGACTCGTGGAACTTTTATTAACTGATATGCGACGTTACATCACCTATATAATTCTACTAAATACTCGCCATTGTCAATCGAACTGCATACATTACATAGCTATGCCAATTTAGTTGTCAGTTACACACATTTTGGAATTAATTATACAAAAACAGAGCTTTAGACTTGTACTAAAAACTTGAACACAAGTTAGACGATACTCGTTTGCTGTTTGTCACTTGGTCGTTTTTGCTTACGGTACTGTTAGTATTCAATATATGTTTTTTTTGTGAAAAGCATGGTGAAAAGTAAAGTAAAGAACGATGTTTGTAATTGATTAAAAACATCTATATACATTTCGTTTTTTTGTCAAATATTTTATAATGTGAGTATTCGCTTAGTTATGTCTAGGTTATTTGTTGGTTGGAACGACTTTGTTAAATTTTAAATATTTGGCATTGTATTACAGTTTTTCCTAGATAACGTTCATAAATGTCTCAGTGTCAAGCACAAGCTACAAAATGTGTTTGAAACTAGAAACATAAACTCATTAAAGCGGGGGAGTCGTCACCTACGCATGCGTCAGGTGGCCATAACGTGTCATTGTTTACAAACAAGCGTCTACCCTGCGCTCTTAGCGTGAGTTGTTATCACCGTTTGGGACTCAATTCCTGCGCGTGCGCGGGTGACGACCCTCTCGCTTTAAATGCTGTGTTTGATGTCATAGCGATTTTCACATTCTCACATCAAGCATACAGAACACAAAATATGTGTCTAGTGAAAGAATGTATCAAAGTGTTGTGATAATGAACTCTTTTTAAAATATGTGTCCAGGGAAAGCACCTTTTTTTAAATGTGTGTCTAGTGAAAGCACTTTTTCAAAATATGCGCCAAATGAAAGCACTTTTAATGTATGTGTCTAGTAAAAGCATTTTTAATATTATGTTACTATGTGAAAGCATATTTTGAAAAAATGTCTCTCGATAAAGCACTTCAAGTTGCCAAAATATGTGTCTAGTAAAAGCACTTTTTTCTTCGAAACGATGATGTGTCGATAGTGACAGCAATTTTTCAAAATATGCGTTTAGTAGAAGTACTTTAAATGTAAAAAACGCCGTACTCTGATCAAAATAATAATAATGCTAGAATGAAAATTACCCTTCGTAAATAAAGTGAGACGAATAATATAGGGGTGCCAGTCATATTATTTAAAGTTAATCGTATTTCAATAAAATCAAATTGTACTTTAAAAGGCGCAATGTAAACAAATATTATACCCCCCCCCACCTTCATGATAAACATTTGTTGTATGCGACGTTTGTACCACTATTGTGTATAGAATATAACATTTGCGGAATTGCTCTTACTTTTTATTTGCTTTCAATGACACTTGGGGTAATAAACAATCAACACATTTTTGCGAAACATTTAGTTGTAGTTTTAAGGCTTTAACTCACAATCACAGTAACACATTTACACTAAGCATTGAACATCAGCAATATCGGGGTTCAATTACCTTTAACGTGCGAAATTTTTTTTTTTACAACAAACACATCCGAAACAATTCCATCTAATAAAGCTCCGTGGAACTAACTCGTTCGTTTGAGGTTACCTGTCAACAAGAACGTGTTGTTCTTACGCTGTCAGAGAACGGTGCCCGGGCCCCCGTAATCAGAACCACCGCCGATATGATGCGAACCAGTATTCTGACCATAAGTCAATTTGTCAAGTCAAGGCTACACGTCGACCGCCTAACAGTCGACGGGAACAGGTGCGTGACTCGCCATAAGATCTGGGCCAGTGTGAAGGTTGCCAATCGAAAGATTGAAAACATCAACTGTTTATGATGCTTGGAATGCCACCATCAGTCCTCCGCGTTACCCACAATTCATTGCAGAAACATAAAATCCTGTGTTTTTACTTAAAACTTTATTCTGATGTCATCATTGTATTTAGTTAATTAGTGCTTTTCACTGACAGAATGTTTGTCTAACTTTGAATTATGGTATGATAAAGTTTGCAGCTTGGGGTTTACTTAGTCAGCACTCAGTGAATAAACATTGTTGAGGCCCCTTTATGCTCGTAACAAATACAGGGATAATTCATCTCAGATAATAAGAACTGTCATTTAACTGTTGTTTTATTGACCCAAGAACAATTTAAGCTGTAAATTAGCTGAAAGCAGATATGTATTCCAGGGCAAAGTTCGTGTCAACAAACGTCCATTTCGTCCAAGTTGTTTGAAACACCCCCTAGCTTGTCGATAAGAATCGGCCAGACAAAAGACTCTGCGGGACGTCGACATTATATTACAACTTTTTCAAGTTCTTGGCAGCGAATGTACTAGTCACGGTAAGTTTTGATTTCGCGTATTTAGTTTCTTGTGGCGACGTTCATAATATTTTGTCAAGTTCGCCTATGTTGTAGAAATATTTCGGCACTTGAATAATAAAGCGATAAATCGTGTTTACAAGTTATTTATGTTGTGCGTGAGAGAGTTCTTAAACAGAAGGACAAAATTCGAGGCGCTAAAGTCCGGGATGAAAAGGAATATAAGATATAAGTCTCGTGGGCTGACGAAGTTGATCATGTATCCCCGGATTGAAACTATATACTATTTCGAGAAAATACATTGTCAACCAATCGTGTGGGACTTCACAATGCATATACCCACGTATTTTCTAGCTTCTTGGCTGTTAACAGTTGTGAACATTTGTTGGATTCGATTTGTCGACCTTTTTTGTAAATTTAACATGCTCAATTAATGTAGCGTAGCTTCTCGAGGAAAAGCGGTTTTAGACCTTCCCGACAAAATGACCGAAATAATTGAAGTCAACATTATTTACGATTTTTGTGTTTACATTATTTAATTGTTTTATGGTCGGGTCACGCATGAGTAAATCGACATGTCAATTGTAATCTGGCTTGTCACGTGATAATAATTAAAGACCTCGTCTAGAATTATCATACCATGAACAAAGAACCAAGTTATTCACTGCCAAGTCAACTAGCTAATCACACGGAGCTCCATGCTGCACGCAACGCCAAAATAACTTCCCGAACTAACCGACACCGTTTTGCACACATACAGTAGTGGCGGAATATGTTCACATGTTTTATATACTATGGCGTTTATAATAGACAAAATAGCAAACTATAACATGAAGCAGAGCATCATGGGTATGCCCTAGTTAACTGTGAACAAATTCCAAGAGGGCGAGTGGCTAAGCCACTTTATAATCGCCTTTCATTAACCGTTCAGCATAAACGTCTACGATTTATAACACACATAGTGTAAGTACATATATTCATTCGCAGTTCTAAGTATGTATTTTAATACAAAATCTATAATTTGGATGAATTTGACGACTGAAATTAGTTTTCTGACACTATTAAAATGAGAAAATTGTTTTTGTTTGAACACCATGAACGAGGTCAGACAGAAAAACAAATACTTTTACATTTTGCTCTGTTTTTGGAGTAACTCCCTGTTTATGCGATATTCCCACCTGGAACATATCCGTGAACATATCACGTTAGATGTGTGTGTATAATTCGTGTTATTTGGTTTAAAATCAGTTAATGAGCATTTTGGGGCTTTGTAAACTGATCTTAGGTGTCGGAGTTAATGACTTGATTGTTTGTTTATGGCACTGTAATGCTGAACATGAAATGTTTAGTGGGGCATCTTGTGACTGGTGTTAGCTACTTTTATGAGGGTAACTTGAATTTACCAAGACAACCATGTTTATTTTGATTTTGGCAGTATTTTATTTTATTTTATTTTATTTTATTTTATTTTATTTTATTTTATTTTATTTTATTTTATTTTATTTTATTTTATTTTATTTTATTTTATTTTAAAACTTACGGCAACCATATTAATTAAGTAAATTGAACGTGTTTAATAAGATTAATTCTGCTGAAAGCAAGCATAACATTTTTCTATAACGGAATATGCCGGCAGGTGCATTAAAAGAAATTTAAATGGCGGTGGACGTCACGCCGCGTCCTGTTCGATATAGGACTCATAGCGACGTACACAACGCGTGTAAAATACACTGTTTGTTTACATGAATTTCGAATACGCGCCAGTGAGATAGTGTGAAATGTAACTCAGAAGACTGGCACATCAGAACTAAAACTATATTTCATGCTCATATTTAGAATTTGTATTTACTGCACATGGTAATGAAATTAAAATTCCTTGTTACATGGGGAACAAAATTGTTTCACGCATGCGCATGCATTTAACTGTACGTACCAATAATTCAAAAATGCATAGTGTAAACTTATTTCTTGATCAAAAAAATACAACTTTCTGCGCTATTCTGCATGAAATATCAAATAACACACTACAATTACAATTACATTAAAGGGCGGCAGTCGTCGCGCTGCGCATGTGTAGCGACATTTGTGTTGATAAACATTGAGTTTACCCTCAATCCAATGCCCTCTTCTTATATAAATTACAAGTATGAGGTTTGATCTGGGCGCGACGTGCACTAATTACCGCTGGTGACTTCTTCGATACCTTCCAATAACCTGAAAATTCCTAATTAAAGCTTGGTAACGTCTCAGTTTGTACTCGTTGATCTGCGTAACAGTCAAAGTCGCCATCTTTGTTTATATGAGACCCATATATCTTGCGCATGTGTGGCGCGACGACTACCGCCCTTTAAGGTCGCATTTTCGACATATTCCAGATTTTTCCAAAACATATACAAGTAATCATAGTATGCACGTCTCGCCTTAATTGGCGTCAATACGGCTCGGAAGCGAATATACCAGATAGTTCGAAATGTTGTGGCGGTCAGCTGATAAACGGCCCGCTTCGAGTCGTTCCTGTCAGCTGTTCACGAATGATAATGTTACACTCGTCGTCGGTCATTTATCTTAACGTTACCATGACACCAATTAACTGCGTTATTTAGCTCGTAATTCACCGAGAGTGCCGTCTGTGTTGAAGTTTCGACTAGGTCGACGCTTCCTCCCGGGTATGTATGTTTCATATACATAGTTGACCTTATGGTCAGCCACCGCTATCTATGTAGGATTACACAATTGTATCGCCCAGCCATAATAATCAAAGATAGCATGTACATCTTATTCCGCAATGTTATAATAACCCGCGAATAAAACAAAATAGTTGAAAAACGAGGTTATTCATATGAACTTTGGCCTACATCTTCAGCCTAAAACGTTGATGATAAAGTGTATACTAATTAATGTTCACGTGACGAAGGTCGTAATTTTGCTATATACTTTGAAACTTAGAAGCGAGTTTGAGTCCGTACGGATGATTGGCAAATAGCGGTACCGCTGGTCCCCCCCCCCCTCGCTAAGGTATGGGCTTTCTGTTTTAAAAAAATGGCGCCGTTGTTCTTTCGTCGTTGTGGCATTCTATAAGGCCTGAGGGTAAAGTACATGTTTCATCAATTGTGGGGGACCCACCCTTACCCCCAAACCCACCCACACACGCACATACGCGTCTTACCATCATTGTGACGACACGCAGTGGGTTAACTGGTAATATAGTTGAATTAATTTTTATTTCTGGAAGAGAAAAAAACCTACAATTTCAATATTTGCCAAAATGAGATTATATAATAAAGAATTCTACATATAATATATTGACGCCGTTGTCAGACAAGCCGACCGTGACTTCAGTACGACTTTCTAAACAACAATTATAGGTGAACAGGTCTCCTGCTAGTCAAGGTGTTTTTTTAAAACCTATGTTAAACTGAACATACAGAGTATTTCTGTGTCGTTCAGTATGTTCTTGCATTCATTGAGCTAACAGTGAAACGGAGTGAAATTTACAAAAGTGACGTTATTAACCATATAATTATACAAAGATTATTAGTGTGCCGACATTGTAAGTGATACCTTGTATATATACTTATATTGTTATAAACAACTAAGTTTGTGGTAAATAACGTGTTATCATTCGTCGCGCTGTGTCTTGTCCTGTAAGGGGTCCCATGCGACGTGATTTCATTGTTTTGTTTACGCGGAATCCGAACACGCGCGCGCTGCTTGACAGCTAAGCAGCTTTACATTGGAATAATTACAGTCTTGACAAAATGTCTCAGTAGAATACAAATCTTGAGTAGTATGAAAACATGTCATATTTGTTTTAAGCAGGTAGATGCAATATGGGCCGCTGTAAATTTTCAAAAGACTGTATGATTGGTTGGCTTAGAGACAACGCACTTTTGCTGTTGACATTAATTGGAGTAATCGTTGGGTTTGTACTCGCTATAGCGATCAAGGTAAATACAACACGAAATAATTTGTTAAAGCAGCACACATTTGCTAGTTTACTGAGATGAGATACTATTACACAAATAATGAAGCTTATCATTGCTCTATAAGGCATGTTACCGTGGCATTTCCAATCACAAAACACTCTCAATACACCAAGCAAATGTTCGCTACAGTGATATGTTACCATCTTCAAAGAGATAACGAGGTTTCATTGATTGTTTACTAAACTAAATATTCTGCTTCAAGCCGGCAAACCCATCAGATGAAGTCATCATGTGGATAAATTTACCAGGGGAGCTGTTTATGCGTGCGTTGCTGTGTGCCGTGTTACCGATCATAGTCTCGTCCATAATTACTGGTAAGTGACGACATGTCATATACTATTATGCACACAGTCAGTGATTATACATATCTTTATGTTATCTCCGTTTTCGCCTAAATCCAGTTTCTTCTCACTAGTAAATATATCCAGATTCTGTGTTCAGGTAGGTCTCTTCTTACTCAATGTCTCCATCTATCGCCACCTCGCGATCTTTCTTCTATTCTAACTGCACGAATTCATTACATGATTTGTCTTTATCACGTGGCGTATTACCTCTATCTTGCTTTCCTTGCCTTATACACAATACATGTCAGTCCGCCTTCTGTTATTCTTCCGATTTCCTCACTTCTCTCAAAGATATTTTTAAAATCTACCGCTACATTCTCAAATCTTTTAAAAGAATCAGTGACATTATTCGTCCGACCTCTCCGTAAACAGTTCCGAGATGGAGATGCAATAGGCTTGTTTAAAGGATCAATACACCTCTCCCATCAGCCTAGCGAAGAAATACTTCGTGGTAACAATGAAAGCCGATGGCATTCAATATTGTTTTCGTCTCTACTCGTCCGTTCATTCTGAATAGCGTACGGCTACTCCAGTAAACAAAGTTGCCTCTTGCTAGACAATCTGCGGCATTTTGACCTCAGAATCTCTTCGTCGCTTGAGGGCGTAATTTTAACAGGGCCGATGTACTAGTTCGCGCAGTGAATTTCAATAAACGCATGTCCGATTCTGGTACTATTAGACAATAGTCGTCACAAATTAATTAATTTTATGTCTTAAAGCTCGGAAGATTAAGTAATTATTAATTTGTTTTATTGACAGCCGTGGCATCACTCGATTTGAAAACCAACACAAAAATGAGCGCTTTATCATTCGCATACATGGTGCTTATAATAATACTGGCTGTCGTGCTGGGATTAGTCCTAGCTCTGAGCATCAAACCCGGCAACTCATTCAGCGAAGCTTCTTCAGACGAGACACAGTCTAGTAGTATTCAGTACTACGAGACCCAGGATGTTTTTGCTGATTTATTCCGGTAAATGTAGTCCATATTTCACACAGGTTCTACCGCACATGCTATTAGTATTATCATATTTTTATTATTAATTCAAATGTGATTACCGGCACATTGTTTCATTATGTTGAGTTTTGAAAAAAAGTTTAATATTGAAGGGATGCTGTCCCGGGTATGACTCAGTATATTTATAGTAAAACGATGAAGAAAAAATATTTTTCTTGAAAATTTGTTACCATTTTTTTCTATTTTGTATATGACCATGTATGACTATGGTAAATCTTTTTCAAAAATATCATTAATGTTAAACACGTTATGAGCACATTTTAAATAAAGCAAGCACGCTTACAATACTGTAAACGCATCAATTATTCGTTGGTATTTAATTTCGCTATTTTCACCAATAAGTAACATTCAAATGAAGATGTAAAATAACAATAGAACTCATTGTTTTCCTACCATGTTCGTGAATCCAGTGAAATTGCTCATAGCATCGAAATAGTTAAGTTAAACACCAGTGCGAATAAATGATTTTACGGTATATTATCGTTCAAATAATCATGTGTCGCTCACATGCATGATGGGAAATAATCAGCTCACGCCGCCAAGGTGAATAAACTGTGAAGGATAACTGAAATAATATAGTTTACCACTCTGACATGTTTACCGATATTAATTTGCAGAAATTTAATCACGAACAATATTGTACAGGCATGTGTACAACGGGTAAGTGACATTCATCTGAGTTTCACTTCATACGTTATAACCCGGATCTTCGAGACCTCACGAGACCTCACGAGACCTCACGCGACGGGAACAGAAGTCTCATACCATATATCTTCATTGTTAGATATAACAAATGAGAGCGCATATTTAAAATATAGTCCGCTTTTGTTTACATTTGCATTCGACTTCGTAACATGATGTTGTTATCTCATTTGTCATAAGTGAGTCATAATAGATTACAGATTGAGGGCGCTGTTTTGGATGATTAGTGAAGGCCGATTGAAAAATAGGGGAGCTTTCCTGGATAGAGTTCTCAAGTGGTCTCCAGGAGTTCAAACTAACTTGCACTATTTACTAAGATACCAAAATCTCCTATTCTTAATCTCATTTAATCCTATCAAGTTTATTTTATTATTTATTTATTCTTCCTTCTTCAATGTGTTAGATAAGAATATAATTAATCGAATATTTCTTCTCTTATCTATTTATCGCTATTATAAAAAAATAACTTAGATATATGTTCTAGGTTTACACAGAATATGACTTGGTGCAGTCAACATCGACGAATAACGTCACAAATAAGACGGAAATCGACATTGAAGTTTTATCAAAATCTGTATCATACAGTAGCGGAACCAACTATTTAGGTGAGTTGATTTAGAGTATAGTGGTCAAATTATTATCAACATTGTAATTGGAACTATGTTTAGATTATCTATTAACGTTTTTGCGTTTTGAGTACTAGTAAATGGCCGTTGGTGTACAACTACAATCCATGACCAGTCGCGGCAATCACATAATGATCGAGATTAATCGATATTAAATATTAATTAACATACGTTTACGGAAACCGAGGATGATCATACATTTTTCGTATTTGTCCTTCGTATTTTCCTTTTTAAGAATAGTTTTCTTGACTTCACAATTGAAATCAATGTCAAATTTAAAAGCACAAATAAAATAAAACTATACAAATCTTTTAACTTTTATTTTTGAAAATAAATTGAAATTGTCTGTAACGACCTGACCGTTAAAGACATTCTGTCTTCCTTCTCGTACCCTAAACATGGCATATTTCATGTGTCAGAATTCATTTTTGCTGACGGATCCCCAGATATTTCGCGTCATTTTCGAACGCATGTCTTGACAAAGGTCGCGCGTTTTAACATTGCGAGAATAACCTTTTACAGTTTAATATTACTCTTCCCCCCCCAAAAAAAAGACTCCCGAAAATATAGCTTCTTTTCAGTCTTTCACCGCCCACTTGCCTGTGGCAATGACGGCTCGATCAATCAGCCGTGGAAGTTAGTAGTTAAATAGAAATAACTTAACATTTGAATTCAAAGACCGATCTTGTAGTAAATATAATTTGGTCACAGTAACAAACGGTCGATATACCGTTACAGGAAATAAGAAACAGGATAAAATGATCAAAACAAGATACTTGTGCAAACATGCGCGTCTTGGCCACCATGTCTGGTCCTATTTGACTGTGGCCGAGAAATGTGATATATATTATCGATTATTCTTGATCATTTAACGGTGGTCTCGATTGGTCACGTATTGTAATTTCATTCAATATAAAGTAACCTCAAGTTCTAACGCCAATAACGCAATTAATTACCAGTACATGTTGTTCATTGCTCAGGTATTCTCATATTTTCAATGGCTTTCGGGTTGGCTATGAGCGTGGAACCCGAACATACAACTGTCATGTTACAATTCTTTAACGCCATGAAGATTATTATATTCAAGATATTAACAGTAGTTCTTTGGTAAGTGGTTAGTAACACATCGCATGGTGGCGCTGTGGGCATTTAGCCAAAAACAACAGTTGAGAAAGTAGTACATGTATATACCACAGAGGCAGCGGCACGGATTTTTGCCTGGGGTCGGGATCTGTTCACCGTCTCTCGCGTCGAAAACGCGGGCTTACTTTGAGGGTCCGCGCATTCTCCACCTTAAACATTTTGAAATCTATACCCTCTGAGCTTCGATTTTCGAGGGGGCCCCCTGGTGCCGTCGCCACTGTACCAAAACGAGTTTAGTTATTTCACAATAAATTGATCGGGATCAATGTGTAGAGGGGCTGTAGTAAAGAATGGTATGACATTATGAAGCCAACAGTAAATCTCTCGTATTATTGTAGTGGGCTACGTGGCACAACACTCTCAACCAACGCATTGGTTCACTTATTCTGTCGATTTTCTTTACTTTGAATAGCTACATCAGTGTGTTCACACATTCGTCATTAGCTGAGATAGACTCATTATCTTACCCACCTTTCAAAGAATTACTCACGGACATCACTACTCAACGCCTACATGACGCACATTTTTTTTCCTAACACGTCTGGTTACTTTTAGGACACTCCCGATCGCAACTACTAGTCTGATCGCCGGGGCGTTGCTGAAAGTTGATGATTTACTTGATGTAATGGTATCACTGGGACTGTTTTCTGCTACGGTCATAGTCGGTTTACTCATACATACATTCTTCACCATTCCACTTGTCTATTTCATATGGACAAGAAAGAATCCTTTTGTCATTCTTATGAAATCAGCCAGATCTTCGATTGTCGTCATGGTGATTCGGAGCAGGTATTTCTTACAAAATGTCTGTCCTGATTTATAGGACATATATTTTCACTGACTGTCGTTAATGTCGTTTGGTGCCACAACACGCCATTACTTTACCATAAATCACACCTTTGTTATGATTATATGAAGATTTATTATCAACCAAAGTTGTTTATACATTAGCGTGCTCAAACACATTGCATCATCAAATAATGATGATTCAGTCAGTTCAGTCGAAATTGGTATTAGAGACACATTTACACATAAAACATAAAACTTTCATCATGAAAATTAATTAATAGCTCTTAACGTTTAGTTGAATATCATCATTTTAAAACATGTGTAAGGCCAAACGGTTGTTTGCTGTGTGTATCTATGTTTTTCACGAAATATTTTTCGTGTGGTGATAGTAGTAGTAACTTTTTTTTGTTCCATTCAAAGCAGTCCGCCATAAAAAAAATTCGCTTCACGTCTATTCGATGCGTTATAATTATTATTTTTATTTTTCTATTAAAATGGTGCAATCCAAGATTTGTGTGAACATATTTCAGATTGCTAATAAATATGTGCATTAGATTGATTTGGGTCGACAACATCATCGTCTGAAAACTTGAGAGGAGAATCGTGTCTTTGGTATACCATGGAGGTAATAATTACCTCCATGGGTATACGAATAAAACATGTCTTAATTATGCCGTGTGTGGCTCACTTCACCGATAAGTGAAATTGACAAAAACAAATATTTAGATGGAATGTTTCCAACTATTAAAACAAGAACTTGAATGACACACTAATCTCGTTCACAGTATTGGTGCAATGCCAGAAATGTTCAAGTCATGTGAACGAATCGGGATGCATGAAAAAATCTACGATTTTGTGGTACCCCTGAGCGTAAATTTTAAGAAGGATGGTTCGGCTGTTTTCATCGCGATTAGCTGCGTTTGGCTCGCCCAGACGGAGGGGATTACACTAGATGCTGGACAGATCGTGACCATAGGGTGAGTTTGTTTAATTTGTTTTTGTACAATATAATATATATCTGCAATACAATCTAAGATGAATTCCTGACAAGGGCTCACGTAACATTGAAAAGAAGTTAGCTTAATAAGTATCTCATTAACATGAAGTTGTCCTATAACAATGTAATCGGACATTGAATGCGAGTTTTAATAAAGTACCTATGTCACATCTTTAATAGTTTCGTTATTGTCGTTTTTGTTTAGGATAATGGCCTCCGCCCTCTCCATGTGTTTACCTGGGATACCGAGTACAAGTTTAGTTTCCATAGCAACCATTGCTAGCTCAGCTGGGATACCGTACAAAAATATCGGTGTATTGATAGCCATGGAGTGGTTGCTGTAAGTACATTTGCTGTCGTTCTTGTTGGCGTACTCGTTTGATGACACCTTGGAAAACACCGAATGCGCATGTCTGTTGACTGTTTATGTATGTACAAAAATAGCCAGCGCTCATGCGCATGAAAGTTGTTCATTGTATCATCGAATGGATACACAGTGAAGGTAGAATGCTACTTGTGTTTTTTTTTACATGTGCGCATATTTTTGCGCATATTCCGGTGACAATATTTCGAGGGAAAATCTGTAAATAGTTATCCATTTTAGTATTAGTCAACAGTTATTGGACTTTCTTAATCATTCACTGCTAATATTTTTGTTTTCTTTTTTAAGCAAACAGTAAAATACTATTAATAAATAAAAATAGAAATTAAGTAGTGGTTTACATAGACCACAGATTTCTTTATTAAAGAAACAAAAAGCATGAATTTTTATAACACATACATGTATATGCATGTACTTGTATCTTTTAAGATACTATATATTTTTTTTCACTATACCTTGGACCTACATTTAAAAAAAAATATCGAGATATAAATTCATAATATGAAGCAGTTGTCACATATGTAAAAAAAAAAGAAAAATATTTCTACTTTCGAGTAGCGTTCAACATCAAAAATGAGGGTTTACAAGAACATTTCACACGTGTTTTTCCTTGCTCGTAAGATTAAATTGAAAAGTAAAGTTAGAGACCAAGCCAAAATTTGACCACCGTGTTTGAGAAATTCATTAGGAATATCATCTGGACCAGTAGGTTTACCTGATTTAGATGTATAACTTCCTTTTAGTATATCTTCAGGCATTATTTCAATACTGGCAATTTATTAATCAATTACTATGCAATCATATTTTCCCCGCCAATATTTTGCTTAGATATATTGCTATTAAGTAACTTTAATACAGTTCAGCTTACATTCTATAAGTTACTTAAGATTGATGTTAAGATTATTCGAAAGGAGACCTTAGGATTAAAATAGAACATGTACTACTTAAAAGTATAAATTATTATTATACAAGTATTAATACGTACGCTAGTATTTATTCATTTTTTATCCTCGTGGAGTCAGATATTCATCGGTGTAATAAACACAACAATCTGTCTAGCTCTTTTGTGTAGTAGACCGACATTGTAAGAACATTTTTCTGCTGAAATTTGTTTAGATATCATTGTTGCATTATTTTGAACCTTTCGTACAATTCATGTCACACTCTATAAGGTACCATGAGATTAATAATGTACATTTAATACTATTAACCGAGAAACAAGCCATTTTTGTTTGTTTTTATTTATAGCCGCCGTCTTCGTCTTCGAGCTTCATTTCCCCCGAAATCTAATTCCCACAATACATGTGTTTAATGTTTATTAG